AAGGAAGACGCAAGGAGCAGCACGAGGGGACAGCTTGTCCGCAGACAAGTCGCGGACAAACGCCCGAGATCCCCAGACACGGAACGCAGACGCATCGCCAACCTTCCCCGTCCACAGCAAGGCTGGGGAGGTCTCCGGCATGGAGACCCTGGGGTGAAGGTTGATCTGATGCGCCGCGTACCGAACAGCAAACGGCCACAGAAAATGGGGGGCAGCCGCATGCATCATGGACGTACGGGCGACGTCCATGACCATGCCAATGCGGCGCTCAGCAATCCCATTTTGCTGTGGAGAGTCCGGAAGTGTGAAGGTCTGGCGGATGCCTCGTGCGCGACAGTAGGCTCGCAGAAGGCCAGAGGAGAACTCTCCACCTCTGTCAGAGTGCAGACGCAGAACAGGAAAGTCCGAGCCGAAGCTTTGCCTGAGCTGGAGACGAGCTGCGCGGATCCAGTCGATCAACACCTCAGTGACATCACCCTTGCTGCGCAAGGGGAAGACTGTGGTGTAACGCGAGTAGTCGTCAACCACCAGCAGGAAGTAGCGCTCGTGACCCTGTCCACGGACGCGGGCCGGGCCCCACACGTCCATGTGAAGCGTCTGCAGCGGGGCCTCTGTCGGAGGAAACTGGGAGGAGTGAGGGGCAGCCCGCTGCCGCCCCTCGACACAGGGGACGCAGGTAGGGCCAGGCCCCGGAGGAAAGGGAGGGAGGGACCGGGGAAGACCAGAGACAAGGACACGGGAGGCCATGCCTCGGAGACGAAGCAGGGAGGGGTGACCAAGGCGGTGGTGCCAGAGGAGAGTCTCGTGAGACAGGAGGCGACACGAACAGGGGGCAGACTCAGGACCAGACCTGGACGCTGCAGCAAACACCTGACCTGACGCAGCTACCTGACCAGACGCAGTGACCGGAGGAGACGCAGTGGTCAGTGTGTACAGGCTCGACCCCGGCCGACGTGTAAACGTGGCCAGGTGTCGGCCTGTCCGAGCGTCCGTGCAGTGGGTCACCCGCTGACTCGCAGGAGTGAACTGGTGAACCCCCGCATCCTGTAGGTCAGCACCACTCACCAAGTTCGTAGAGAACGAGGGGAGGTAAAGACCAGACAGGGTGCCAGAGGGGGCCGCCGGACACGGGAGGACAGTGGAGAAGTGAGCAAGGACAGGACCCCCAGAGGGGTCTGCCAGAGAGACTGCAACTGGCCGGCCAAGCGGCGTGAGTGTGGTGCGGTCTCGAAAGAAGGAGCGAGAAGCCCCCGAGTCAAGGGTGAAGGTGTGGGAGGCCGAAGCCGACGCAGAACCTGAGAGAGCAGACTCACCAGCACCTGAGGGAGCAGACGCACCTAGAGCAGCAGCCTCGCTAGCACCTAGAGCAGCAGCCTCACCAGTACCTGGAGCAGCAGTCTCAATGCCCGGGTCGGGCGGAAAACACCGGTAACAGTCACCCTCATCACTAATAGTCACAGTATACATGGCAGCAAGAATAGCATCAAAGTCAAGGTCAAAGACAGCTACACCCGCCCTAGACAGCTCACCCCAGCGGGGGATCTCAGTGGCCTCAGGGAACTGGTGACGCCAAGCGTCCGTCAGGCGGCCAAAGCAGCGCTGGGTGGAGTGCGCACCCCCGCACTGGTCACCCGCGCGGTCACCGGTGCGGAGGACGTAGGTGCACGGACCAGTACCCCCACCCCTCTGGCGTGCAGTGTACCACTCACGGAGCTGCTGAGGGGAGGGGATGTCACGAGTGCGCTGCTGCTGCTGCTGCTGCTGCTGCTGGCGCTGACCACCACCGGAGCCGACCCTCTGCGCAGCGCCACCCCGACCAGCTCCACCTCCTCCGCCGCCTCCTCCTCCACCGCCGCCACCTCCGCTCCCACCGCCACCGCCGCCTCCGCCTCCGCCTCCACTGCCGCCACCGACACCTCCACCCCCGCCACCACCCCCACCGCCACCCCCACCCCCTCCACCGCCTCCACCTCCGCCTCCACCGCCCCCGCTAGCTCCTCCAGTGCCCCTGCCCCCCTTGCCCTTGCCAGGGCGACGTCTCCCGCTAGGGGTAGACGCCGCACCGACCGACTCAAGCCCAACGAGGTCGGCCGCAGCAGCAGAGGCAACAGAGGGCAAAAGGGGGGAGGGGGAACACCCCTCAAAGATGGGGGTGCGAGGGTCACCACGAGAGGCTCCTACAGCGACTATGCTCTTCTCTGCTGCTAGGAGGGACTTCTCGAGGAGGTCAACGGTGAGAGTGGTGGGGCAAACTGAGAGGAAGTGGTCCCTGACTACGCGAAGGGAGTCAGGGAGCCGGGTGACTATGTAGTAGAGGGTGATGTACATGGGGGGGGGGTTCTTGGCGCAGAACTCAGCAGGAAGCGCAGCGCGGTAGCGAGCGTCACTAGTGCGGAGGTGCGTAATGAGGTCAGCGACTGTGGGAAAGGCAGCAAGGTCAGGGAAGAGGTACGGTAGCATGAGGCGGCTCAGTGCAGCAGTGGCAGGGGAGGAGTAGCGCGCAACTACAGCGTCGTACAAGGTCTGAGCACTCTTGTACTGGCTAAAGTGCGCACGCTCAGAGGTAGGCAGGTGGCGACGCACAGCAAGACGTGCAGCAGCATCGCGCGTGGCCCACTGTGAGCGAACAGTGGCGTCAGCATCAGCAGCGGGGGCAGGAGAGGCACCAGAAGTGAGGTCAAAGAGGGAGAGGCCGTCTGCCCTGTCGCACTGTAAGAAAAGCTGCAGGTCATCTATCCAGACATCAAAGTCAATGGCCCGACCCTCAGCGTCAAAAGCGAGGACACTAGGGGTAGCCATGACAGTAGTAGACTAGCAGCGCAAACAGTAGGGTGAGGGCAGTGCTGTGAAAGGGGCGCTGCTCTTACCGGACAGGGCGGCTCGGGTGGCTCGGCTGCAGGGCGGCTCGGCGGCTCGGCTGCTGGGCGGCTCGGCGGCTCGGCGGCTCGGTTGCTGGGCGGCTCGGCTGCTGGGCGGCTCGGTGGCTCGGCTGCTGGGCGGCTCGGCTGCTGGGCGGCTCGGCGGCTCGGCGGCTCGGCCGTTCGGCTGCGACTGCTGCTGCAGAGACGGCGGCGGCTGCTGCCTCAGGGACGGCAGCGGCCGGCCGCTAGGGGCCGCGTCAGGTGCAGGAGAGGGCCGCGTCAGGGGCGGCTTAGGGGCCGCGGCAGGGGCGGCGAAGGGGCCGTGTCAGGGGCCGCGTCAGGGGCCGCGGCAGGGGCCGCGGCAGGGGCCGCGTCAGGGGCCGCGTCAGGGGCCGCGGCAGGGGCCGCGGCAGGGGCCGCGTCAGGGGCCGCGTCAGGGGCCGCGTCAGGGGCCGCGTCAGGGGCCGCGTCAGGGGCGGCGTAGGGGGCCGCGTCAGGGGCCGCGTCAGGGGCCTCGTCAGGGGCCGCGGCAGGGGCCGCGTCAGGGGCCGCGTCAGGGGCCTCGTCAGGGGCCGCGGCAGGGGCCGCGTCAGGGGCGGCTTCAGGGGCGGCGTAGGGGCCGCGGTAGTGGCGGCGGAGGGGCCGCGTCAGGGGCCGCGTCAGGGGCCGCCTCAGGAGCAGCGTAGGGGCCGCGTAGGGGCCGCGTCAGGGGCCGCGGCAGGGGCCGCGTCAGGGGCTGCGTAGGGGCCGCGTCAGGGGCTGCGTAGGGGCCGCGTCAGGGGCCGCGTTGGGGCCGAGTCAGGGGCCGCGTTGGGGCCGCGTCAGGGGCCGCGTAGGGGCCACGTCAGGGGCCGCGGTGGGGCCGCGTCAGAGGCCGCGTAGGGGCCGCTAAAAAAAAATTAGGGCAGGGGCGCAATGCGCGTCGGGCAGCTAAAAAAAAATTTCGTTATGGTGGGCCCTTAGGAAGGAACGGTCACATGTAGGAACCCGCTCTATACCATGTGAATTAAGAAAACAGGAATGAAAATGACTAAGGGAAAGTTGGGTACAAATACAAACCCTAGAAAAACTGTACCCCATATGTGCTACCCCACTATAGCCTACAGTAGCTCTGTCATATAAATCTGACATTTTTGTCACTATTTCTTCACGCAGTTCTCTACTACATCCTATTCCCTAGCCATAGGAACTGATTTCATCTCGTTAGCACAACTACGCAGCTCGTGGCGCATGTTTGTGCGTTTGCTGGCCTGAACTTGTACAAGGATAGGCCTGTGCGCAACATGTCACTGCGCCAACGTCTGAATGCCTTTTTTGCCACTATTTCTTCACACAGTTCTCTATTACATCCTATTCCCTAGCCATATGAACTGATTTCGGAGTGAATTCCAGCGGAATTATTGATCTGATGTCAGAGTGAATATAAAATGACTGAGATTATTATAACAAGCACATAGATAGGCTTATACAATAGGATTGCACAGTTTTATTTACTATTCCTAACAAACATTGTGTTACTGGACCACAATTCATTGAAATTAATTTGGCAAATCATTGATTGACAAAAGGTATCAAGTGAGTTCAGTAAACAACACGGTATACAGATGGCAAATATTAACTTAACAATTTGTACAGCATTCTACAAATGATTCACGAGGCTGATTCGAAGCTCGGCTTAGAAAGGCTCGGGAGGTTCGGATTGGCTAGCTGGAAAGCTACGTTCCGCAACTTCAAGCTCGAACCTTGGCCTGGTTCCGCGTCAGCTTCGAAACCTGCCTTCAACCTGCGCTCAACTTGCGGCAACGTACCGCGCACCTACGCTCCACTTACCCTAAACCTGCGCCATAGCAATGAGGTGCAAACGTAGGCTTTTCAGAACCTACGTCACACACCTCACCATTTTTGGGATGCACTTGGACTGCAGCGAGAGGGAACGAAGGTTGGTGAGATGCTGGAAGGAATCCGGTATTGAATCTAACATATACATTTCGACTTTTAGGGTTTGCAATTGCGGTAATTCACCAATCGAGCAGCCACGGGAATCTCACGTGGACTCGCGAGCCTCATGCCGGAGGCCTCCCGTTCTCTCACCCAGCTTTCGAGACCGGGCTGCACAAGGCATTGTTCAAGGGCAAGCCCATGCCTGTGGTTGTCAAGCTATACCACATAGCTTACTACCTGGCAGGGGTGAGTTGTGGCATGCTGCAGCCATGTCTGTTGTACCGTCACATGCTACTTAATGTTGGTCCTAATCTCGTTCCTCTGTTTTTGTATTTGCTGTTTCGCATGTGTTCAACCAGGTCGAGCGCCGTATTATCCATGATGGCGAGGATCTGGAGAACAGCGCAGGCCCCAACATCGCCCTTGTCGCCACTTACCTGCGCAAGGTGACTGCGTGGTGCAGGGCGGCGATCATGGCGCCGTCCGTGAATGGTAGTGGGCCGTGGTACGTTCCCGGCGAGAAGGCATGGGCCTTCTCCAGGAACGAGACGATCCTCATCTCGACAGATGGGATCGAAGAGACTGAAGGCATCAACCGTGCACCGCAGCCCGTGGACGCACCCGTGGCTTGAGTGTTCGTTGCCGCGGCATTCGACCAAATGCTCGATGTCGTAGCGGGACTATGTGGTGCTGCAGGGCAAAGCGATGGTATTTCACCATTGTAGGGCTGTCTTCCCGATGTAGTCTGGGGCTTATTGTTGCATGTTGACAATCCAGGGGGGAGGGGAGTTGGTGGTGCTGAGTGTGCAAGACTTAGGTGATCATGTCTAATGCATGCTGTAGTTACAAATGGATTCTGGATAATGCACGCGGAGCAGATGTTCTCACCCCTGTACGCTCTGCTTTGTGGTTTCCTTTGTTGCGCATGTATCGCGTCGCCCACTTGAAAGTGAGTGGGGAAATTGTGTTGGGCTTGTGCAACCTAACCTACCTTCTTTTGTTGACAGAGGTTATTGCTCGTTCGATAGATAGTTGTGCTGTATTTGGTACAGTTCTCAACCCTAACACTCGCGACACACAATGTTGCGAACAAAACTTGATGGGTGACTGCGTGATCTCAGCGACCAATCAACGTTCTCGAACGAAACCATCGCTATGAGGCTGGCGCTCAGCTTGAAACCAGTAAGGAAGGTATTAACCCAGTATCGCGGGAAGGGCGGTCATTTCCGTAGCACAAACTGCTGTTTTCCTTGCGACGTTAGCAACCCCAGTATGCTAAGGCCACGCCTGAAGCTTCTCACTAGGCGGCAGAGCTTAACATAGCTCGAAGGTGGGTGTTTTGGCGTCGCGTTTATGCCTCCGTGACTCTCGTCGCCGTTTAGTGACGGCGTTCAAAGTCTGACAATGTTACAGAGATTCCCCCCCCATCCATTCTCCCGGTTGTGTCCCCATCGGTTCTCTGCATGCGTGTGCAGACAATGGCGCTGGCAGGAAAACGCTCGATTAACCGCGGCTGCGTTTACCTGCTTGACGCCAGCATCGGGCGCACCTCCTTGTGAACCAAATTTTGCAGCAGGAGCGTAGCGCGTACACTCCATTTCGACCAGGGCGGTTGGTGAGGAATCTGACCCAACTCCAAGCGCGCAAAGGTACGTGCTGCGTGTGATGCACGCCCGTGTGTGCGTTTGTGATTCTGTTACTTTCACACGTTTTATGGAACCATGGCGCCGCGCTCTAACGAATGTTTGTAACCAGTTATATGTTACTTTGTGCAGGCCCACCTGAACTGTAAGATCGGCCTGTTCAGTACTAAGCCACTGATGCAGCATCATCGACAAAACGCCGCGGTAAGTGTGCTATTGCCGTCATTTAGCCACGTGGCGCATTTCAGCCGGTCGTCAAGTGTTGCTCATTCAATGTGGTTTCATCTCGCCGCAGGTCCACGTCGCTCCGCTCGTCAGCATTCCTCTGTGCCCGCTCTGAGTTCCGCCGCCTATACATGTGCCTTCGCGACGCGCCTGGTTCCTTATGCTTTCTTTCCTTTATGTGTGCATATCACCACGTGGCGTTTATTTTTAAACACCTCTGCACCCTGCTTGTACGACTGCCTACTGATTGAGGCTCAAGTGGCGGCGCCGGCGCCTTAGACATTAGGGGCCCCAGCAGGGTACAGTACTGCATACGCTGCTTCTGTTTGTTCTATTATAGCAGGATTATAGTAGGCTTGTGTGTGCTTCAAATGTAGACCTGTTGTCAACTCTAGCTGGTGCACCTGATGGAAGTGCCGTTCGTTCGAGTCTCTGGTGCCATGTAGTCGCCACGGAATGTTGAACCCGATTGTAGCCCAATCATCGGGTCGCACATGGTGAGAAGCTTACGGAGGATGCATAACATAATATTATACGGTTTTGTAACATTTAGTGCATCAATACGTTTTTATAAATGTAACTAGGCGCTTTCGAATTAGTCACAGCGCCTTCCATTACTAGAACATGACCGTACAAGAAAATGTTATTATATTGAGAATTGCATCCGGTCAGATTTCTTATGAATGTCATAATCACTACGAATATCGAAGCAGAGTGAAACGGGTACCCTAGTCCCGAGGGTGCGTTTAACGAAGGCAGGATTAGTATTACCTTTTTACACCTTGATGTTTGCTGTAAGACCCTGGTTAAATAGGAGCCCGTAGCTAGATCCGAGTCGGCCTCCAAGGGGTATCCCGGAAAAAGTTAACTGTATTGTTGTACGGAAATGAAGTTGCGAAACGCATGGTGTACCTTTTAGAGCATCACAGTTTCTCGAAGCGATAACAGCGGGCCTGGGGGCGAGGTCTGATTCGCTCCCGCAGGGTGGGGGCGAGGTCTGATTCGCTCCTGCAGGATGGGAGGGGTCTCCAGCGGGTCACCACCCGTGGGTAACCTTGGGGTCACCACGCGAAGTGAAAGCTGCGGAGGTCACCCGCGGCTTACCTAGACAAGGACCCCGGGGTACCCACCCAGGGGGTAAGCCGTGGGTAACCTGGGGGGAGCTTTTTGGGCCAAATTTTTTTGGGATGCGGGAGGTGCGGGAGGCAGCGGAGGGTGAGCAGGCGGAGGTCGCGGAGCTTGCGACAGACATGGAAGAGAGACGAGAGGCCGTTGCAAGTGACGTTCATGCGAGGCTGGAAGTGTACGGTCAGATGTGTCAAATGCGAACACGTGGCGCCCAGGCATTGGAAAAAAGCATCGCCGTGCGCATCCTGACAGCAACATTCCTGAATCTCGAAGTGCGTGAGCGAGGAAAAGGTGCGAATCGTGTCTAGGAGAACGGAGAATCGGATCTGGGATTTGATTGCGAGGTGCGTGAGCGAGAATCGCGCTGCGGCGTACCATCGCTTCGAGACAAGCGCGTAGTGAAAAGAGTCGCGCGTGAGTGACCGCAGCACGAGCGAGAGAAGGTTATCATCGGATAGGACCTCCGCAATCGGCCACAGAGGAGAGGAAGGGGCTCGGAAGGCGGGGTTCAGCGGGGACGGCAGCGACGGCATGGTAGGAATCGTGGTATTGCCTCAATGAAATATATTCGAGTGAACCAATGCAGCTTACGACAGGTTCCATGGTTTTTTATCTACGCATAGGGAGCATGGAGGTGGCCTTGTGTGAAGCAAGCATGAAACGTGCAGCAAGAGCGCTGTTCTGTAGGTACGTATGGCGGGAGGAACAGAAAGAGGGAGGGAGGATTTGACTTTTAGGAAGGAGGCCAGCGCGGTTGTGGATGTGCGAAGACTGGGAAGACGAAGAAAGAGAAGACTGGAAAGAAAGGTGGACACTTGGTTCACGAGTTCAGTGCCGTGTGCCGTGTTTGATTGATGTACACCTGGGCTCCGATAATTTCAGAGACGAGGCACCGGGTCGCACCTCTGTCGTTTAGCCCAGCGGTTGAAATTATGGGGAACAAAAAAGTTCCCCCTAATTTCAACCCCCCCAAGCGCAGATATTTTGGCGCTGAGTCAGTCCCCGCTGGAACATGCCAGCGAGGACCCATGTTAAACAGTCTGAGGTGGTCCGTTCATTTAGAAGCCCGATTTCTAATCGAGCCACAAAAACATACATTATGGAAAGTGTCAAACAGTGGGTGAGTAAGTAAACTGTCTTCAAGTCAAGGCCCAAACACAAAATCATCAAATACTGAATTGTTTATACGACTACTTATTATTACCCAAAACCCCATTATCAGACTAACCGTGCAGCCCTCACCCACTGAATCAGATCCTCCGAAATCACGCCGCTCGTGCGGTGCAATGGTTCGTTCTCTAACAATGGCCCCAAAAGCCGCGCCATCCGTGAGTCCGTCATCATTTCTTCAAGCGCCATCAATGCCGCGTCACGCACGGACTCGCTCGAGGGTTGCTCAGGCGGGGGAGCATCGTTGAGGTCGAACGGAACCCCACACCCACGAGGGTATGGAAACCATTTGCCGATGCGCTCTCGGCGCGGCTCGCCCTCCCAAGACCCTTCGGTAGGAAGGGTGTCGTCGCACGTGATAAATTGGCGAGCCGTCATGAGCTGCCCGTCGATCTTCAATTTAGAAATAAGAGTAGCCAATGAAGTCACGTCATCACTAGAAGGGTCCCTCAATGGCCCTTCAAAAATACGTCCAAGCCCCCACTCTTCAAGCCACGAGAACGGAACAATGCCGGCGCGCCTCCAACAACGTCGCACAATCTCATATTCAAAGCTTTGCCATGTCCCGCTAATCCATGTAATTGCCGTTCTCAAATCCGGACGAAGGTCTTTCTTGCTCATGGGAATGTTATCCTCTCCATCCACATGTTCCCCCACCCCCTCTCCCTCCACCATGACCTCTTCTTCCGGGGTATTTGGCTTGTCAAACTTCTTTAGCAACCACTCGACTAGTATTTTCCGGTACCTCAATTTGAGGGTTGAAATCACACCTTGATCGAGTGGTTGAACATGAGAGGTGCAGTTAGGAGGCAAGTAAAGCACTCGAACGTTCCCCACATCGACATATCGCATCCCGTGCACATGACCCTCCACCGCTTCCTCCAAATTGACAATGTTGTGGGAGGATGCGTTGTCCACTAGCAAGAGTACTTTCCGATCCATGTACTTCAACCGTCTTTTTAAAGTACCAATGTACAATGTCCCAACTAGGAAGGCTTACCTCGCTAGTCATCCAAGCCTTCTTGTTGGCGCGATACCAGACGTAGTCTTGGACGTGGAAGTCGCTTTTGAACGAACGAGGTCGGATCGACTTGCCAATAACGATTGGCATTCTAAAATCTGACCCGTCAGCGTTTACACATAGCGCGAGTGTAAAACGCTCCTTATCCAACTTTCCGTCGGACACGGGCTCGGTGGCGTAGGTGCGCCTAGGTTGCTGCCCTTGCACTAAACCGGTCTCATCCAAATTATACACGTCACGAGGCTCGTACGACTGAAGAATGAGGGGTAGATTTTCCCGCGCCAAGGCGATGGACTCCTTGTTTGCGTTTAGGGCTTCCCCTTTCCGTATGTACGAAGACATGCCCATGCGTACTAATGCCTTACACAACCATCCACGGCTACAACCAAAGTCGTTGGGCAAGCGCAGACGCCTCGCTAGCTCTATGGCCTTTCCTTGCAAGACTCTAAACGTGATTGGAAAATTAGTCGCGTTTTTCCTCATCGCCCATTCTCGAAGCCGTGCTTCTAGTGCTGGAAAATGGCCTTGTTTAGCCCTCTTTCGTGTTTCAGGAAGCAAGGTAGGAGAGAGCCACTTCTTGCTATCTTTCAATATCCTTGACACGGTGGATGTACATGGCGTTTTCTGAAAATTCTCATAAAGCCATGCAACGAGCTGGTTGTGGGTAAGGTTAGGGTTGGATGCATGGTGAGAGACGAGCGCCCTCTTCTGCCCTATCGTCAAGGCGGTATTTCGCCTATGAGTAGGCATGGCTAACTAAGAGTGAACGTCTCTAAATTCTAAGCCGTTCTAAATGACGAGTGGGTTTGGAAGTCGAATTTGCTCTCTGCCTGCCGTGCTCTCCTCTGGTGTTGTGTGTGTTGTACCTCAGTGGTTGTTATCGTTTTTGAGTCGGTTACGCTTGTTTCTACCCATATTCATCTCCTTCACTTGGGCCGTCCATTCTATGCCACGTAGGAATCTAGTGCGGCTGGTTGCTTTGTGGGCCACGAAAAACCTGCCTGGGAGCCTTCTCGAATCTCTTTCACCAGCTCATTCCAGCGTGGAAATGTGCAGACGTGTCAGGTCACAGGCTGTAAAGCTCTCGACTTCACTGTTGACAGCCTCCGAAGCGCTCGAGCTCCTGACCCCATGTGACGACAGGGGCCTTGCAATTATAGGGAATGAAATTATCGGAGCCCAGGTGTACCGTATCACACCGGATATAAGCGCCGTCCGTTTAAAACCCGCAGCCTGAATTACAAAAAAAGTTGGGAGGTGTTAACACCTCCCCTCCCGAACCAGGGTGGTTACCAGGTCTCACCTTCAAAACGTGAGGAAAGTCGCAGGGTGCGTAGGGAAGGATCGCAGGGGTCTCACCACCACTCTTGGCTGAGGTTTGCACACCTATCTCGAAATCTGTAATTCAGGTCGACAAAAAACGCAGAGTTCAGGGCCAAACTTGGGGAAGTCATAGCTTAGAAGAGATTCACCGCGCCGACTTCCACGCCGGTTTAGGGTTCCTCCATTCCGACGGGATCAGTCGCCCTTGCTGATCCGCGCGCCTTACATCTCGTTTTCACTGCACGTAGCTAGCCATGCCCATTCACGCGCATATGCCCATAGTCGTCCGCCGTTTCACTGCCCCTTCGCCAGGCGCATCGATGTCGCGGTTGTTCCTAGCCGCGCCCGGTTCTCTGTCCAGGGTAGAGCATTCCGCCTTACATAGATTTTGGTCCATTTATATCGTCGCCGTCACCTTCGCGCACTTCCCTCCCGTCGCCTTCGCGCACTCCCCTCCCGTCGCCTTCGCGCACTCCCCTCCCGTCGCCTTTGCGCACTCCCCTCCCGTCGCCTTCGCGCACTTCCCTCCCGTCGCCTTCGCGCACTCCCCTCCAGTCGCCTTCGCGCACTCCCCTTCCGTCGCCTTCGCGTACTCCACTCCCGTCGCCTTCGCGCACTCCCCTCCCGTCGCCTTTGCGCACTCCCCTCCCGTCCCCTTCGCGCACTCCCCTCCCGTCGCCTTCGCGCACTCCCCTCCCGTCGCCTTCGCGCACTCCCCTCCCGTTGCCTTCGCGCACTCCCCTCCCGTTGCCTTCGCGCACTCCCCTCCCGTCGCCTTCGCGCACACCCCTCATTAGAGGATGAGCACTCCCTCCCGTCACTCACGCTTCCTTCCCGACGTGCGATCACGCTCCCTCCCCTCCAGTCGCCTTCGCGAGACGCCTCTTTCGCCCCTCCTCATTCCTTTCCGTCGCCCAGCACACTCCCCTCTGTCGCCAAGCTCACTCCCCTCTGTCGCGCTCGGTAACTCCACTTCCGTCGCCCACGCGCACTCCCTCCGTCGCCCACGCGCTCTCCCTACGGTCGTGTGCGCGCACTCCCTTCCGTGGTGTGCGCGCTCTCCCTTCCGTCGTTAGCGCTCGTGACCTTCCCGTCGCCTTCGCGCATTCCCTTCCGCCGCACCCCGCTTGGGGCGCACGGCCGATTCCCTCCCATCGCACACTGGCGCCCTCGCTCTCCCTTTCCATCTCTTCCCGTTCTCCCAAATCACGACCGCATGTCCTCTCTTTTCGTATCGTCATCCCATCTCCTCCTCTCCCCATCCCTCCTCCAACCCTCCCTCCACCCCCCATCTCTCCTCTTCCCATCCCCATCCCTCATCTCCTCATCCCTCACCCCACTTGCCTCTGCTCCCCATCTTGCATCTCCCCATCCCTCATCTGACCATCCCGCATCTCCCCATTCCTCACCTCCCCTTCCCTCATCTCCCCATGCCTCCCCACCCCATGCCTCATCTCCTCATCTCGAACGATCACTCCATTCCGCCTCACCCCATTCCACCTCCCCATCCCTGATCTCCCCATCCCTCGCCTTCCCATCCCTCCCCTCCCCATCCCTCATCTCCCCATCCCCCAACTCCCCTTCCCTCTCCTCCCCATGCCTCACATCCTCATCCCTCATCTCCCCTTCCCTCGTCTCCTCATCCCTCATCTCCCCTTCCCTCATCTCCCCATCCCTCATCTCCCCACCCCTCACCTCCCCATCCCTCTCCTCCCCATCCGACACCTCCCCATCCCTTATCTCCCCATCCCTCATCTCCCCATCCCTCATCTCCCCATCCCCCATCTCCCCTTCCCCATCTCCCCAATCCGCCCCACCCCATTCCGCCCCACTCCATTCCGCCCCACCCCTTTCCGCCATGCCATCATCACGCCATCCCTCATCTCCCCATCCCTCACCTCCCCGTCCATCACTTCTCTGGTCTTCCTCTCCCTCTCCCCTCTCCTCTCATTCCTTACCCTGCTCTCTCTCCTCTCCCTCCTCCCTTTCCACTCGCCCCGCCACTCCCGCCGTGCTTCTCCCTCCCCCCATTCCACCTCGCCCCATTCCGCCCCACCCCATTCCGCCCCATCCCATTCCGCCTCACCCCATTCCGCCTCCCCCCATTCCGCCCCACCCCATTCCACGCAAACCCCGCTTGTCGCGCACCCTACTTCCCTCCGTCCCCCTTGTCCCCTCCTCACTTTATCTCCTCTTCTCCCCTTTCCCCCCTCACCCCATCTCCTCCTCTTTCCGTCCACCCCTCCTCACCCCATCTCCGCCTCACCCCATCTCCTGCTCTTTCCATCCAGGCCTCCTCACCCCATTCCGCCTCAACCCATTCCGCCTCCCGTCCTCTCCCCATCCCCTCCTCTTACTATACCTCCTCTCCCTGTCTCTCCTCTCCCCATCCCTCCTCTCCCCATCCCTCCTCTCCCCATCCCTCCTCTCCCCATCCCTCCTCTTACCATCCCTCCTCTCCCCATCCGTCCTCTCCCCATCCGTCCTCTCCCCATCCGTCCTCTCCCCATCCGTCCTCTCCCCATCCGTCCTCTCCCCATCCGTCCTCTCCCCATCCGTCCTCTCCCAATCCGTCCTCTCCCCATCCCTCCTCTTACCATCCCTCCTCTCCCCGTCCCTCCTCTCCCTATCCGTCCTCTCCCTATCCGTCCTCTCCCCATCCGTCCTCTCCCCATCCGTCCTCTCCCCATCCGTCCTCTCCCCATCCGTCCTCTCCCCATCCGTCCTCTCCCAATCCGTCCTCTCCCCATCTGATCGTCTCCCCATCCGTCCTTCCCCCATCCGATCCTCTCCCCCTCTCCTCCAGGTGTTTCCCACACTGTCCTCGGCCTTGCGTGCACCCGGGAGCTGCTTGGGGCGCTGTGGGCGGATGGCGGCGGGCAGAGTCGCGCAGCAGAGGCCTACGTGGTGCTGCAGGGATCCCTTCCCCCTGTCCTCCCGACCCCTCTTCCTCCCTTCATCACTCCCTCCCTTCCTGCATTCCCCCCTTCCGCCCTCCCTCACATCCTTCATCACTCCCTCCCTTCTTGCTTCCGCCCGCCCGCGCTCACTCTCTTCCCATTGCCCGCCCCCATTCCCTCCCGTCACCCACACTACGTCCCCTCCGTCGCTGATGTGCACACCCCTTGAACGAGCATGCTCAATCCCCTCCCGCCCTGTCCTATCCCCTCACCCCGCCCTGTCCTATCCCCTCACCCCGCCCTGTCCTATCCCCTCACCCCGCCCTGTCCTATCCCCTCACCCCGCCCTGTCCTATCCCCTCACCCCGCCCTGTCCTATCCCCTCACCCCGCCCTGTCCTATCCCCTCACCCCGCCCTGTCCTTTCCCCTCACCCCGCCCTGTCCTATCCCCTCACCCCGCCCTGTCCTTTCCCCTCACCCCGCCCTGTCCTATCCCCTCACGCCGCCCTGTCCTATCCCCTCACCCCGCCCTGTCCTATCCCCTCACCCCGCCCTGTCCTTTCCCATCACCCCGCCCTGTCCTTTCCCCTCACCCCGCCCTGTCCTTTCCCCTCACCCCGCACAAACCCAGGCGAGCATGACAGAGGCCCAGACGCCCTGCATGGACGTGCCACCTCCGCTTGCTCCTGTTTTCAGCATCTCTAAGGCCCAGAGGCTTGTGCTTGTCTTGTATCCTAGTACGGCACGCTCATGTCATGTGTATTTACATCTCATATAAAATATGCATGGGTCTAAAGATTTGTATACTGTTCTACTGTACAAGGTTACAAACAAAACTAACAGAAGCTACCATAACAGCAGCATGAAACGCAACTTGAGTACAGTATCAAGATGTTGTCATATGCCGTTGGATGTCACAATGGGGCACACAGTAGCTTCAAATGAAATCAAATCGTACTTGGTTGCTCCATGCTGCAAAGCATAGCTCACAATGAGAGGGAATGTGTGAAGGACTGGATGAGAGAGGGGAGGAAGGGATGAGAGTGGGAAGTAAGGGAAGAGAGTGGGGGGGAAGGGATGAGAGGGGAGGAAGGGAGGAGGAGGAGGAGAGGGGGAAGAGAGGAGGAGAGGGGGAAGAGAGGAGGACAGTGGGAAGAGAGGAGGACAGGGGGAAGAGAGGAGGTCATGGGGAAGAGAGGAGGACAGGGGGAAGAGAGGAGGACAGGGGGAAGAGAGGAGGACAGGGGGAAGAGAGGAGAGGGGGAAGAGAGGAGGACAGGGGGAAGAGAGGAGGACAGGGGGAAGAGAGGAGGACAGGGGGAAGAGAGGAGGACAGGGGGAAGAGAGGAGGACAGGGGGAAGAGAGGGGGAGAGGGGGAAGGGAGGAGGACAGTGGGAAGAGAGGAGGACAGGGGGAAGAGAGGAGGACAGGGGGAAGAGAGGAGGACAGGGGGAAGAGAGGAGGACAGGGGGAAGAGAGGAAGACAGGGGGAAGAGAGGAGGACAGGGGGAAGAGAGGAGAGAGGGAAGAGAGGAGGACAGGGGGAAGAGAGGAGGACAGGGGGAAGAGAGGAGAGGGGGAAGAGAGGAGAGGGGGAAGAGAGGAGGACAGTCAGGCTTGGCGAAGGCAGTAGATAGGGGATACGGGAGTAGGAGAGAGAGGCGCGCTAAGAAGAGAGTGGAACAGGGAGAAGAGGGTAGGCGGGAAGGATGCTGGCCTAGACTGCGTGCAAGGCAAGCAGGGCGGGGAAACAGGGGAACCAGGGAAAAAAAAAACGGGGAAAAAGGTGGCAAAAGAGGGTAAGTAGGGGGCAAACGAGGGGAAGCAAGTAAGAAAAAGAGTGGAAGCAGGGGGGGGAAGGAGAGGAAGCGGTAGGTGAAGATAAGGGCATGCAAAGCGGGAAATCAAGAGCGTATTGTGGGGACCTGGGGGGAAGAAAAGGGAGACATGAGGGGAAGGAAAGGAATATGGGGTTGGAGGGGGGACATGAGGGAGAGAGAGGAGGGAGGGATCGATAGAGATAGAAAGAGAGGGGAGAGGGTGAAGGGATGATAGGAAAGGGGGGAGGGTACGCAGGGGGGTGACGGAGGACATTCATGAAGGAAACTGAGCGCAACGAAGGGGGGAAACTGAGCGCAACGAAGGGGGGAAACTGAGCGCAATGAAGAGGGGAAACTGAGCGCAATGAAGGGGGGGGGAAACAAAGCGCAATCAGGGGGGGAAACAAAGCGCAATCAGGTGGGGGAAACAAAGCGCAATCAGGTGGGGGAAACAAAGCGCAATCAGGTGGGGGAAACAAAGCGCAATCAGGTGGGGGAACTGAGAGCAATCAGGGGGGGAAACTAGGGCGGGGTGGAGAACCAGGACGTCGATGCGAGAGAGGGGAATGGGCATGGGCGACGGGGAGAGGAAGAGAGGGCGAATAAGATGGAAGATCGATGAAGAGTCGGCGGCGGGAATGAGAACGACGTCGACGCAGCGACAGGTGGGAGAGGAAAGGTCGACCGGGCGAGCGATGAAGAGGGGAAGCGAGGGCGACGGGCGGGGGAAGCGAGGGCGACGGGCGGAGGAACCGAAGGCGACGAGCGGGGAAGCGGCGAGGGCGACGGGCGAGGCGAGGGTGGTAGGCGGGGAAAGCGAGAGCGACGGGCGAGGGAAGTGAGGTCGACGGGCGAGGGAAGCGAGGTCGACGGGATGGGAGAAGCGAGGGCGGGCGGAGGAACGAGGGCGACGGGCGGGGAGGCGGCGAGGGCGACGGGCGGGGCGAGGGAGGTGGGCGGAGGTCGGCAAAGCGCTAATTTCTCATCTCCTCACGACCATTTTCTCCGTGCTTCACACTCGCATCTGGCGCCTGCGTTTCCCTTCCGTTGCGTATACGCGCTGCACCTACTAATTCTGGTTGTGTGAATTGTGTTCACAAAAAATCCCTAGCAGGTGTGTGATGGTGGTATTCTAAAAGCGAGTGAATGAGTTAGCTTGTTCTGTCACGCCAATTTTCTTGCTCTGCTCTAGCTCTTGGAGGTTGGCTAGCGGGTTGCGTGCGAACTGTTTGCCTCATGGGAGAGTCGCATCATGTTTCGCTAACCTGCCACCTTTCGCAATTCCTCCGCACCTCATTTTGCCCGAACCCCAGACCTACCAAACCAAGCGTTGACTCAGTTTTTGTAATTCAGGCTTCGGGTTTTTAGGGCGCCGGCGCTTCTATCTGGAGCCATGCGCTTATGGCGGCACTTCGATTATAAGCGCACCCCTTAAAAATCCTGTACTTATTATAAGCGCCACCCCCTCTAGTTCAGAAGTTTTTTTTTATTGGATTTTATATAATCTATTCGACAAACATTCTACTGTCACAGTCAATCTACTCAATCTAACATTCAGATGATTGAATCTCACTTTTTACATGGTAACAATCAGCCTATCTCCTGCCAGCATGAACCTACAAGTCTAGAATTTCTACCGTTAGCACTACTCCTCTTCGTCTGACTCTGGCTCCGAGCAGTTGTTGCCCCAGAATCCGTCGGCCGTGATGTCGTCGTCTACGTCCACCTCGTGCGACAGCTGGCCCCTCCTGTGCGCCATGGCGAGCTTGTCCTCGCTCCCGTCTAGTGCGTTGCTAATGCCGCATGTGAGGAACGCCCTCTTGATCAGATCTGCGGGGACTGCCCTCCATGCCCGGGAGATCCACCTGAGGACCACCTCTGCAGGCGGCTTTTTGAGGTTCCCTGCACCACATGACGATCAGAGGGGAGATTAGCGCAACAAAGAGCCGGGAAGAATTTGACAGGTTTGAGAACGTAAAAGAATTCGGCCCATACCTGCTTTTGTCAGCCTCTCCAAGCCTTCCTCCTCGAACCAGGTCTGGTACTGCTCGCGGACGGAGGCCTTGAAACTTTTGTTGACCGACACGTCGAGAGGCTGTACGTCCGATGTTGAGCTCCGCAAGCTTCGCCTTCACCTCGTCCGTGAGATGCCCGCGGTAAGAATCCAGAACGAGCATCGCGCTCTTCGCCTGCCTGCCGAACCGGGGCCTTATGAAAGGCTTGATACACCCGTCAAGCCACGCCAGAACGCCGTCGGCGTCCATCCAGCCGTTGTCTTGGCACCCCACCACCACATCTGCGCACGCAACAAAGGGTCCAAGTTAAACATGCCTCGGTCGCATGACAAAGCAAGGTAAGATGTCAAGCTTGTCTTACCTGGCGGGAAATCCCCCTTCGGGACCGTCTTGCACTTGAAGAAGACCCATGGCTTCAGCTTCACACCGTCAGCTGTGCACGCCATCATCACGGTAACGCGCTGCTTCTGGTAACCAGCGCTCCTGATGGGCACCGAGCGAACTCCCGTTTGCTCCACGGTGGTGGTGGCTGGCATCTCAAGCCACAGCGGCATCTGGTCGGCGTTGATAATCCACGTCGTTTCGATGCCGCGCTCACGACGGTTGTTGCGGACGAACTCCCAGAACTTAGTGCACTGCTCCGCGACATCTGTCAGACAGAGGGAGAGCGGGGGGGGGGGGGGGAGGCGGTAGGGATATAAGATCTCTGGTAACCATAAAAACATCAAGGCAGACGCAAAATCAATGTTACTAAAACGAAGGGAGGCACTTACGTTCGGCGGTTTTTTGTGCTACCTTCGTCTTCATGCGAACGCTCAAATTCCAGCGGCGCCGAAACCGTTCCGACCACCTCTGACTGCCCTTCCACTTCACGTCGGGGTAGAGAATCTTCATGAATTCCTTCGACCACTCCTGCAGACGACCGACGGAGACGGCGCATCCCTTGCGCCGCCACTCCAGAAGCCTCGCATAGACCTTGAGCTCCATAGGCCTGTACCAAGACGCTCGGCCGCGACCGTGCATCCGCATCCGTGCGCCGTGAGCATCTTTCAGGGCGGCCGCCTCCTTCTTCCACTGCGTCAAGCACTTCCGATGGATGCCAGACTCACGAGATAGAGAGCGCACGGAAACCGCCACCTCCAGCAGCGCGAGCCACTTCATTTTTTCCTGAGCTGTGTAACCCTTTCGCTTGTGCTGCGACATCTTGTGCCTGGGAGAGGGGGGGCGGGCATCACGGTTCTGTGAAGAAGGGTGGGGACGCTTGCGGTTAATCGGTGGATAAGACGGTATCGGCAACTTTTCAGGAAGGCCATCGCGCGACCAGTATTCGACACCGTCGTCGTCGTCGTCGCCGCCCATGGCACCCTCGGGATACACATCTGCCTCGGTGCCCGCCCCGGTGCCCGCCCCGGTGCCACCCTCTGTGCCGGTCTCGTCGTCAGCCTCGGTGCCCTTGTCGCCCTCCGCGCCCTCGGCATCCACATCGTCGTCAGCGCCCACGGCGGATTCATCCCACGCGCAGTCTACGGGCTCGCCCCAGCGTGGTGCCGGCGCGGGAGCCTCGGTGTACTCATCTTGAGGCTTGTCCCTGACAGGTTCTTCCAGCCACTCGTTAAAGGTCTTCGGGAGATACTGGCAAAGCTGGAGCACGGGCCGGTTGCCCAAGGTTTCTAACGGTACAGAAGGAGCAGGAGGAGCAGGAGGTGCGGGAGGCGACGGAGGAACGGGAGGATTAGGGGGAACAGGAGGCGCAGGAGGCTGTGGTGGGTCGGGAGACGATGGTGGGGCACGGCAGTACCATCCGTCAGCTGTAACGGTAAACGCGGGCCTACTAGGCTTCTTCTTGAAGAGAAAATGAGTGCCAGTGAATTCCGCCATGGCTGAAGCAGCCCGGCGGGAGAGGAAGGAAAACTGAATCAGAACGAGCAAGAATGAGGAATGAAATGCACTTGGGAGGGACCCCTTCGGAAAGGCGCCACGAGGTCCTCGTCGATGACCGACGGGAAACCCCCGCCTAGACTCGTCGAGGATCTTGCGTGGCGTGCACGACGCTACGTTGCCATGGTAGATTCCACCACCTTCTAGTGAATTCGGGTGGAATTTGCCTGCATGGCAACGCATCCCGCTGTGATTGGACCGCACGGCAGGATTTGCGTCAGTGCTGGCAGGGAAGATTCCACCCCCTTCTAGAGGGTTCGGGTGGAATTGACTGCCATGAGGCGCATGACAATGCGATTGGGCCACACGGCAGGATGCGAGTCAGCAAAGGCAGGTGCGCTGTTTCTGGACGTGAATGTGTGGTGGGAAACCGAGTCGCGGTTGATTTCCCCTGAATTCCATGCACGATCCCACGTGAACGAACGTTCGGCTATGTTCACCTTAAGGAGAGCTTCGATTTGGTGCCTTTATAAATAAATTTCATTTTCCCGTCTTATAAGCGCATGCGCTTATGCCCGTTACTCAATTACAAGCGCCCCCCTTAAAAAAACTGAATTTATTATAAGCGCATATGCGCTACTATCCGGGGTAATACGGTATGAATCCGTGGGTTTCGCAACTGAACTGAAATGCACTCCAGCTTGAAACTACAAAACATTACCGAAGAGTCCTGAATGGAAGATTTGCGAGGCAGACCCAAAGGCCTTGGTGAAGACATCAGCAGTGTTGGCCCGAGAGGCCACGTAAGCAAGGCGCAGCTGACCACGCTGCTGCAGCTCACGCGCAAGGAAGTAGCGAAGAGCAATGTGCTTCGTTCTGTGCTCCAGTCTCTGCTCGCGACACAAGGCAAGCATTGCCTTGTTGTCGACGTACAGAACTGGAGGAGAACGAGGCCGCTCCCCCAAGTTGGTCAGCAGGTAGGTCAGCCAGCGTAGCTCCTGTGCAGCCATGGCCCCAGCGTAGATCTCGGCCTCACAGCTGGAACCAAGAACAGAAGAAGAACGAGTGGACCTCCACGAGACAGAACCAGAGCCAAGACTGAAGGTGTAACCCTGTGACGAACGCTGAGTCGTCTGGTCGTCGGTCAAGAAGCGTCAGAGTGTCTTGTGAGGACCACCGAACCCCGTCCTCCAAGCACGAGCCCCATGCCCGATGTACTGCACAAGTAACGCAGTACCCTCTTCGCAGCATCAAAGTGCACCTTTCGGTGTCTACCGGGTGCCACGTAGCGAGCCAGGAGGCTGAGAGGGTACGCGAGGTCAGGTCGTGTGCACGTCATCAGGTACATGAGGCAACCCACAAGCTCTGGGTACGGACCACTCGGCTCTACGGACTCGTCCGAAGGTGGAGCTGAGAGCGAGTGGCCGGAAGACAGAGGAGTGGGCTGTGGCGAGGACCACGTGAAGCGGAAGCGCTGAAGGACCTGCTGCACCATGTGTGACTGAGTCAAGGTGATGGTGCGCCGTGCTCTGTCCCGGGTGATCTTTAAGCCAAGATAGCTCCGCAGCTCACCCATGTCAGTGCAGGTGTGTCTCTCCTGCAGCTCCGCCTTCACTAGGGTCAGTGCCTCAGTGTCAGCAATAGCAAAAACCAAGTCGTCGACGTACACGAGGATGTAGAACGGCGGCAGAGTAGTGTCGGTGCGTAGAAACAGCGACGGGTCAGCCGTTGAAGGAGCAAACCTAAGAGCCGCAAGTGTCGTCCTCAGTGTGTCGTGCCACTCGCGGGGCGCCTGACGTAGGCCGTACACTGGTCGCCGTAGGCTCCACTGGGTACCCTCAGGAAACGACCCAGTGAAGCCCTGTGGACGGCGCAACCAGATGGCCTCGTGAAGGCTACCCTGCAAGAAAGTTGTCGAGAAGTCAAGGGAGTGCAGCTCGTAGTTACGCTGAGCTGCAACGTGTAGCAACACCTGAAGAGTGGTCATCCTCGGGGTGGGGGAGAAGGTCTGAAAGAAGTCGACCCCCTCACGCTGACTGAAGCCTTGAGCAACGTAACTTGCCTTGAAGGCAGGCGGAGAACCCGGCGGCCGCTTCACCCTGAAAATCCACATGCGACTGACGATGTTCGCCCCAGGTGGGGGAACCTCGTCGACGTAGGTGCCTGTGGACTTCCAAGAAGCCATCTCTGCGTCCATGGCTGTCTGCCACTGAGAGGAGTACTCACCCGAAATCGCCTCCCTGTAGGAGCGCGGGGTGGGAATGTCAAGTGCATCCGGGTCTCCCTCAGGGGCAAGCAGCATGGTTGCGTGATGGGGTGAAGCGGCCGCAAGGCACTCCAGCTCCTCCTGCCTGTCCTCAAGAACGTCACAGCCAAGGGCAGTACAGCCAAGAGCAGTCTCACC